ACGCGAATTCTTTCAGTCATGAGTTCACAAAACTCAATTCGTCGGTCTGGATCATCATCGCCTAGTTCTTGAAGAATTTGTGTTTTGTACGGGTGAAACTTATGTAATTTCAACACCTTTCTAACCGACTCATGTGAAAGTCCTTTCACTGCAGATACTTGACGTGTTGATACAGTAGCTCCATTTCAAAATTTCCAAGGACCTCAATTTGGGTTGCTTCATTCAGTAATCTTGGGGCATTCCTTTTTTTATTTTGCACTGATCCCGTTTCTCTAAACTTTTCAACTAAATCGCGGACGCACACGTGACTTACATTTTTGTCCGGATGCCTTTCATGAAATATTTGAGCTGTTTTTAAATAACACTGGTTCTGGGAAATGAAAATTATCTCCACGCCCTCAGGTATAGTGTTAACCATCGTGACAACTACAGCTGAATGACAGTACAGATCGTACAAATGATGAAAACTAATGACATTTAAAAGTCTTAAACAAACCAAAAATTATTGACTCTGACAGAATCCAAATATCAGATCTTTCCAACTTGTTTTGCAAAAACGGCAAATTAAGTTTTTATTTAACAAAAAAGTATCGACAGACACCTATTATTCAAAATAATAGTCCGGAAGGTAGCATTACAAATAAAAGTCATAGTAAGCCGGCTGATATTAAAGTTCGGTGCAGACTTTGACAATAGGCTGTATTATTGTTTACAAAACAACGGAACCCACTTTGAACATTTACTTGACATTTTTAATAAATTTGTAGTTCAACAAAAAACTCATTAAATCTTCCATTTAAGCCAAAGTTTCACAATTATTGCTTCACCCTGTACAATTATTATTTATATCATTGGATAGCATTTTTTATAGTCTTTTCAATGATGTATCACAAGTAGGAGTTTGCAATTTGAACTTTTTGAGTTTTGGTGAGTGGGGCCTATGGGGTTGGTGGGGGTGAGTTCTTTTTCATGTCACTTTAGTTCCCCCTTAGTATCCTAGAAACGGTTTCAAGAATTTTTCGATATCAGCTTTTGTTCGTGAGATATAGCCCATTGTAAGATTTAAAATACACTGTATGAGATCTAAATGAAGGAACTTACACAAGTAAATATTTTTTAATGTTTATGCATTTCATTCATTCAAGTGAAGAGATGCCAAGTCAGGAGACCTAAGAGCCCACTCTTTCTATCGATTTCTCATTGAACAAAAACAAATTTTCCCTACAAAAATGAGCAGGCACTGCATCTTTCTAGAAAAACACACTGTCGCTACTTATGAGGCAATTTCATAAAAAATGTTGTTTGAAATGACTTTTCAAGGAGCCATTCAAAATACACTATTTTTTCCAGCATCAACAGTAATTATCGACCAATGTTCGATAATCAGATATCTGGGAATATCTTTAAAAAAAAAATTTTAGACATCAATAATGAAAAACTCTATGATTTCATAATTGATGTGTTAATGTTTTTATTGGAAAGCAAGTGTCTTACCTTTTAATATAGTTGTTGAATGTTTTGAAGTACTTGAAATAAAACACAAAACAATTTTTGATGGGTATATAATAACTGAAATATTAAACTCAGATCGGATGAGAATTCTGATAATCAAATAGGGTATTACCACACAAATCTTTTTCTCATAAAAATAAATTTAAAATCGAAATACCCTTTTGAAATTGAACTATAATTTATATTTTGCCTCAATTGTTGATTTATAAAGATAATTTTCCTTTTTTAAAGTAGAATATCTAGGTACGTATAAATTATTTCAATATGTAAATTATAAACGGCTGTTGCCAATATGTAAATTATAAACAAATCCCTTTAGAAATCAAAAACCAACATTTGAAACATCAATTTGAATACTTTTCGAAGTGAATTTGAAAAACTCATGAATTAAACTCAACTTTATTTTGATCAAACTTGCATTTGCTGTAATAACCCAAACTGAGGAACATTTCCCATTGGTGACAATGACTGCATAAAAATATTTCGATAGGCAAGCCTTAGCAAAATATTATGAAAAATCGCAAGAGTAAACTACCCTTTGAAGTGGATATATCCAACTTTTCTCATCGGTGGCAATAACGACATTATATTCTGATGAGAATGCCTACGTCAACAAATTATTACGAACAATAACAAAAATGAACTTCCCCATATAAGGGTGGATTAGATTCTTATGTATGGTGGCATCAATCTCAAGTAAAATTCAAGTGAGTTGTTGAATATGGGCGTTTTATTCAGATGAAAAATTTAATTTTTCGGCAGTCTTTTTCTGATCGGCAAAGTATTTTTTCCCTTCAAGAACTCGCTGCTGTGTTGTCAAATGACTCTATATTGAAAATAAGAACTTTCCGTGGAGTTCTCTAGAAAAAAAGTTCATTTACTACAAGGCAAGTTCAGACTAAAATATTGTGATGAAAAGAAAGAATGGCATAAATGAATGGTGGTCACAGCATTTCTGCAATCAATTATTATTATTCTCTTGAACTGTACATATTTTAAACGATCGATATTCTGTGACGAGATTATAAAAATATATTTATTTGTAAAGTTTGTCAATGGAAGTTAACTCACCTGATATTTTGTGGTAGTATTGATACATCCAACTTGTACCGTTCAACAGCCAAAATACATAGTGTTTTCAAAGACGGCTTGAAGTCTAGCACATACATATCGCTGTGATCCACCAACCTATCATCCATACTTTGCCCACGAAAGTCAACAAGTCCTGGAGCTTCTGGGCTGCAACACAAATACCATTCTTTTATAGTCTTTTCAAGCAACAGAAACAATGTTGAGTTCTTTATAAAAGATAATGCAAACAGGACCTTAGGGATCGTACGTTAAACTGTAAGACCTTGTTAATCCTGCGAGCTTCGACTTTTAAGAGTTGTCACTCATATGGAAACTCATTTTTCTTCAATTTCAGATTTTCAATTTCCATTACCTTGTTCCGCCGAAAAGAAACAATCTGTCTCCAACGACAACGCACGCTTGCCTCCTCCGCTCACTAGGAATCTCTCCCTCAAAATGCAATTTTCTCCAAACCATCGTTTTCGGATCAAATTCGTACATGTGGTTATAGTGTCTTTCTCTTAAAGAATTGTAACCGCCGAAAATGTACATTTTATCGTTGTACACGACTGAAAAGAGAAAAGTATGCTGATTAATTAATAGTTTCGAACATATTTCTGACTTGAAATCATCTCTTTACTCAATAATAATAATGAATGCTTTTATTGAAAGGTTACTCAGTACAAGAGATACTAACCCAACCTAACAAATGTCAGAATTCAACATCTGCACATAATGAATGGCGAATGTTGCTCCTGACGAAAATCAAGTAGTTTGCCTAAAAGAGCTCTAAAACAACGCATTTTAAACTTACCATTTCAACCTTTCTTTAAAAAATTATTTAAATGCTTAAAAAAGAGAAATGAAATAATGCATTCAACATTTAAAGGGATTCGTATCTATTTCACCATTTGGCAACATCGGTTATAGCTAATAAAGGACAATGAATCTGTTACCTGTACGAGACAAACAAAGACGGCATATTTCAGAGGCGTGCTGTTCTGTTTACTTATGTTCCGAGTTCCGAGACATCGTGTGACATATGACATTTTGTGCACCTAACCTATCTTCCTCTATGTAAATAAATAACAAAACAACTGTTGTTTATGTGGCTTGTGGAGGTGGTATTGAACTTTAATTTATATTTTGCCTTAGTTGTTGATTTATAAAGATAATTTTCCTTTTTTTAAGTAGAATATCTAGGTAACCTGAACTCCGATGTAGCATTCTAGGCGATGTTGCCAATATGTGAATTAGAAACAAATCCCTTTAAAAATCAAAACCCAACACTTGAAAAATCAATTTGAATATTTTTCGAAGTGAATTTGAAATCAACTTTAGTTTGTTCAAATTGCATTTGCAGCAATAATCCAAATTGAGGAATATTCCCCATTGAGGCAGAAATTGCTCTTCCATCCAACCAGCAACAGCTAACTCATATTATTACAAAATATTCTGCAGTCAAGATTGAAGAAAAGAAAAGCAGGAAAGAGAGGCGAGAAACAAAATTGATATCATTAAAAAAAATATTATAGAAGAGCTCGTATCTTATGTTTTGGAAAAAAAGAAGTTTACTAAATTATTAATCAAACAATAAGAAAATAACTTACAAGATGAATGGCTACGTCGACCAACCGGTTTGTCACCTGTAACTTTGCATTGTCGCCAACAATAAAAGGTACTGGGTTGAAGATCCAAACACCAAACGCTGTTGCAGTACACCAACCTTCTTCCGTTATTCATGTGAGGTTCGCTCTCCACTCCTCTTCCTCCAAACAAATATATCCGATCATCTATCACAACCGTGGTATGAAAATCACGTAAAGTTGGTTCGGGACCTGATGGGGTAAAAATCAAAGAGTCAATATAACAATAAAACTCGATGGCAAATTCCGACTTCACTATGGCCATGAAAAAAAAAAGAAGAACGTTCTTAATTCTGCTCTGTTCCCAGTGAATTTCGTCCATAATTTTTACTTTTACTCATACAAGTCTCAAAATCGCTGTATATCAAATCAAATCAAAGCATGCTTTATTATCTGAAGAATAGAATTCTTATTGACAAAGCTCCTAAATATAATAGTACATAAATCCTAACTGCTTAAAATGAGCAGGAAGTCATGATAATTAAATGAAATTAATATTATGCAAACCAATATGGATTGTCGGATGTTAAAAGTGGATGTACTTAATGTATATATACAGTCATGTTTCTATAAAATATTTTCACAACAATACAGTAGAATAGAAATAAAAACAGTTTTCCCTAATTTATTCTATATTAATTGGTTATAAATACAAAACAGGAAAGAATTGTCAGATGATAAAAACATTAAAATAATATATATACATATATACACATATACATATATACATACACATACACATATATACACACATACACATACATATATACACACATATACACACACACAGACATATATACATATACACACATATACACGTAAATAGACCCATGTACACACATATAATAATTTTATAAAATGTTTGATTTCTTAATACAGTTAATATGTACATACATATATAGTCATACATACACACCTACCTTTAAAACTATTTAGTGAGAGACATAGATACGACATATTTTGTACTGCTGTCACAACTATTCAAAATTTTGTTCAAAAAATTCCCTCAAATCATAAATCATTTGTACTTTTGTTGGTTTGGAAACCGTATTGGTTACCATTTAGTATTTTATGTTTAATGACAAATGACATGAGTCTCTTCTTTACTAATTTTTCTATAATTTTTGCAATAGTAGATAGAAGGGATATTGGTCTGTAATTTGATGGATCCTCCCTATCCCTATTTGGTATAAATAACCAAATCTTCAACATAACTTTATAGAGAAGATTATAGAAAAATTTTACAATAACAGAACATAGAGATATTATAAAAATAACAGTTGAACAGAAAAAAACATTTCGTCTATGATTTAGATTTAGAATTCTTATTGATGATTTACTACATATTTTTCCTATATACAATGTGGACTTACATAGTTCCTCTCCCTTCTCAACTTTTGGGGCACCAAAGTCAAAAAAAATTCACATGAAAAGGTATCATTTTTAGTACTTTTTGGTAAGAGAGACAATAATTTTTCTGAGAAAGGTTGGCTGGTAAAAGGATCAATTTTTTTTTAAACAATTGTTTTCTTCCCGACGTTTCGAATTTAATTAAATTCTTATACGAATATTATCGTTTAAATTTCACAAGAAATACCAAACAACCAAATTTCCGAGACAACACCAACACAAAGCGACATGAAACAAACAAATGGATTTATCTGTGATTCTGATAAAGTGGTGTCTGTTTTTTTATCAATGACAGACAAAAAAATAATGAAAAAAAGGGTATAGTATTCAGGAATTTTACTTATCAAATTGAAATATGCAGTATTAAGGCCATTGACATCTCTTCTAGTGTTAACACTATCGCATTTGGGGATATGTATCATTTCGCTCAAAAGTCTTTTGGATAAATATGGTTGAACATCTAGATAGTTAACTGAAACAATAATGTTACATCACTCTTAGTTGACAGGGTGCTACCAACTTTTTTTTCAAACGAAACGAGGGATGTTAAGATACCTCGTTTGATAGGTATTTCAATTCTCTATCCAACAATTTTTCATTTTTGGAAATCGGTTGTGCCGTTCCTAAGAGATTAGCAGTTTTATTATCGTTTGGTGGATTTCCACAAGTTTGGAAATGAACTGCGACTGTGTATCGTACCCCTCATAAACATCTGAAGGCATCATATCAGGTCATCTAGTAGGCTCTTCTAAGGAACCAAATCTGCCTCTCTACCGGTTTGAATAATTGACAAACTCAAATGAGTTTTAAACTGGCAAGACAAGGTACCTCTTCATTATGACTGGCTGGTTAGATGAGAATTGTCCAAAAACGTCGAAAGGCAAACAAGGTCCCTTTGAATGACTCACTAGATTACCTGAAATGACGCACTTAGATTTTTTTGTGAGGATTCGTGAAATCTAAATATACATTACACAGCTAAGGTCTACTTCAGAGCTCACGGTTAGAATAAGAGGTGCTCCTAACGAAATAACCCAATAAACATTCCACAATGCACGAAATTAATTTGTAAACAAACTTCATTACTGTCTGTAATTGAATGGTGCATCGAAATATCTGTCAAACAAGGTATCACAAGACTATCCTTGGATCTGGGAAGAGTTTGTGCTAAGTAGATGATTTCTGCTACAGTGCAGCAAACTGATATGTTCTTAAGATTCGAGAGTAGAGAAGACTCAAAAGGTTGGACTTAATATGGTGTACAGAGAGAAGAAGATCCCGATATTTTTCTTCCCCTTTTCAGACGATATTCACTTCACCTGGAGCCGAGAACTCCACGACAAATATCATCTTAATTTGAGGGTCGAGAAGGACTACATCAGACCAATCACCTTGTATCAACATAAAAGTAGGGAATGAATAGTTTCAAATTATTTGGCTCTTCTCATTCCCGACAACGGATTCAATCTCCGCTGAATATATTTATTATTACCATGAAATTCTCTCAAAGTGATTTTCTCATAAAGGTAACGAAAAAATTTGAATGTAGCCCAAGTACACTTACAATAAACTCAAATAAATTTTGAGTATTCTTTACTTTTTTGGGTACCTCTTTTTACTTAATATTAATCTTGATTTTCCTGGGATAATTAAGAACTTTCCTGTCTTTCACTTCAAGGGCCAGAGAAGTCGGATACGTCCATTAAAAGTTTACCATCTATTTGCATATAACTCCAATGCATCTTTTCCAAATCCAAAGAATAGACGGAGCCAGCGAAAGAATCGGAATCTTCTTCATAGCCACCAAAAATAATCATATTGTTTTTCCACAAACACGCGCTGTGGCCATCCCTGGCTAGAGGTGGATTTCCAGTAGTCTTTGGAGCTGTCCAACAGTGCCAAGTTGTATCGAAACAAAATAATGTTGAACAAGATTCTCGGTCGTTCCTACCACCCCAGATATAAACTTTATCTCCGTAGACAATAGCGGTGTGTCCATACCTAAAAACATATAATATTTTATTCAACTAAGGGATTATTGTTAGACTTTCGCTAGACAATATCTTCCTCAAGAATTTCCATACTGAATGATTTCTACCAAATTTGTGCTTTATATAATAACAATTTGAATCATATGACCTTCTATGAAATTATTGACTTATAATTTTACCTGAGTTAGGTAAAAACTAATGGAACATTTTAAATTAAAAAACAATTTCATAACCAACTCATTAAATGGACTTTTGAAAAACTAATTACCAATTTCCACATCAGAAAAAATGAATTCAGAAGAGAGAAGATTTCAATTTTATTTAGTCATTCAATAAATTTCCAGAATTCTTAAATCTTTCAATTGCTAAGCGTTCTGAAAGATTGAGTTTCATGCCTTCTATGTAACACTTCATAATCATAGTTGAACTCATGTCCCTCTGTCATTAGATGGTAGTAACAGTAGTAGTATTTATTTATTTAGGTTACCCTAATTTACAGACGTTCAATGAAAATATACTAATTAATGTTTGCAAATGTGGAATTGGTATCCACATTCAACAAACTACTACTATGTTCTCTTATTCTCTGGGAAAAGGTTTACCCAGTTTAGCCAATAGAAATTTTTGGGCAGGAACCACAAGTCAATTTATATACTACTGATTTATCCGACACAGAAGTTTTGTTTTTTCTTTTTCCTGATTCTGATTGATTCGGCCGTTACTTGATGAAGATCCATAGTAATTTCAAAAACTACACCTCACAATTTGATGTCCACAAACTTTATTGGAAAAATATAATCACAACATGTTTCGCAAATGTATATACTTGAGCTAGCGAAAATAGTGAAAGAAAATAGTGGTCCATATGAATATATTTTATTTTATTTGGTGTAAGTTATTATCTACTGTGTTGCTTTGGCTTTGCTTACAATAAGATTACCAAATGAAATTGAAAAAGTTTCATCAAAGAAGATTAAGAGCATAAGACAAAATATTAGTTACTATTCTAAAAAAAACTTTCAAAACTACTAATAAAACTAGAGAAACGTGGAGAATAATAAATAGGGAACAGAAGAAGCAATCACATTTTGGAACCAAGGACAGGGAACATTGCTTTCAGATGTAACTCCAACATAGTTGAGATTTCACAATACATAGAAGAGATAGCTAAGTCTATTTAGACAGAACTTAGCACTCCCTTTTTATTAGTATTATGAATGTCTTTGAAAATAGTTGTATACCACAAACTAAAATACATGACACACTCAAATCATGACTTTAGCAAATTATTTCATTAGCACAGCTTCTGATAACTTTCTCTACGGCATACATGTTAATACAAGATAGATGTCAATGATTTTGATGTCTTTTCTAACTTTTCTAAGGCACTTGATACACTGTCATTAGAATTCCTCTGCAATACATTTACAGTACTTGTTAGCTGAGATGGTTGAGTACTTATATGAAAGGACGTTGATGAAATATATGATCAGAGAAGTTTGTGATGTTGAAAACTAGGTTTCCTCAGAGTTCAGGACCACTATTGTTCGTTTATTAGTAATTTGCTGAAGTACATGCAAGACTTGTGAATAACGATGTAGGCAAATGACACCACAGTTACAGTCATAGTGCATAGGAGTTGTTTTCAGAATAAACCAAATCTCAACTCTTACCTTTTGTATGGCAAAATATCATCATTTTCGAAGTATGGTAAGTCGCTAACTGGATGACGGGTCCATCGGAAAGTTGCAGTATTGAGAACGTGAACGTCCATCGAAGTGTACTCTCTTGAATTTTCTCCTGTACAATAACCTCCAAATGAGTAAATTTTGTGTCTCACGGCAACTGCTGCATGATTGACCCGTTTTGGGCCACCTTCCAGAACTGATATCCAACGCATATTTCGAATGGTTTATCTCCAGATTGGGGGACTACTAGGGGATACTGCACTCCTAACAATGTTTCTATATTTCAATTTCAGAGTGAAATTCAATTTGTATGTTCAATTGTATGGTGATTTTCTAATGTAAACACGATCAATTAAGAGTACAAGAAATTTGCACATTATTTTCTTTAGATTGGGAGAAAGTAGTCTCCCTTATAAACACATAAATAAATAAGAACAGTATACCACAGTGACGTACAGTGGGGTAGGTTTTCAAGGTTACCAACATATCTATCACAATATTCCGTGAAATACTGTAGGTGTATTCCAGTTCGCAATTCGAACGAATCTAGGACGGTTCAAAATAGTTATACAGCTGATTATTGAAAGTGGATTCGGGCAAAATTTCGTAAGGCTTTACTGAGCGACTGCTTTTGACTATTCGAAACCACGAAATCAGTTTTACCTCCGACACAACCTAATAATTAAATTACCTAAAAGAACAATTTGTTCAGGCCAGTCTAGACTTACCTACACTGTAGGTTAATGGACAGATGTTGGTGCAGGAATCTTTGCAGAAGTATTTCCTGCATATTGGCGATACAACTGCTGGAATCGATTTTCATTTATAAGAACGGATGCACTTGCAGGCCGGTTTTGCGCTATTTGGCCTCTCATCAGTGCAAGGAATGGCCATCATCAACCTAAAGTTGACCTACAGTGTAGGTAAGTCAAGACTGGCCTGAAGAAATTGTTCTTTCAGGTAATTTGATTCACAGCCAGTGTTCAAGAATGTCAACTGAATATATGTGAAGGTTTTTATCCTTATACGAGGAATTGTGCAAATTTTGGATATGCGGTTGGTTAGTACCTTTTGTTTACCAGATGGAGCGATGACAAATTTGTTGTTTGTCTTTCGCTTCAGCTTGTTTAGAGGAATGATACTGATACCGTTCTGCAATTGGCCCGTTGGATATAATCCAATCCTCTTCGTGGTATTAGCCAGGGGAAAAGTTGTTTTCTAATAGGTGTTAGTTCATTTTAGACTGGCCTGAACGAATTGTTTTTTCAGATCATTTAATTTACAGCCAATCTTCAAGTATGCTTACTGAATACATGTGAAAACCTAATAATAAATTCATAATTGTTTCATTTCTCTTATAATAAATCTCTCCCTCTCTATTTTTATTCGATCATCATATCTCAGTTTTTTGACTCATTCAATCACTGAAACGACTACAATGATGGATATAGGATGCATACATTATCAAAATTTATATGAATAAAACTGAATATAGTCGACGCCAACTGAAATGAGTCAGCGCAGAAACATAAAATCGTTCTGTGTTAAAAGACTCCGCCCACTTAAGTCATATTTCGCCAATGTACTATTGACATCAGTTTATATAACTATTAGCTGTCTTCCGGAACCGGTACAATTTGATTTTAAATGCGCATCAAAATCTCATTTTAGTTAGCGCATACTTTACAAATATGTCAAAATCAAAGTAATGAGAAATTTTCAGTTGGGGTTCAATGATGTCAGTAGTACTGATCTTAACTTTCATTCTTAAAGACAGAAAATATACATAGACTGATCCAAAGTAGACGTGCACCACTGGTAGCTTTGTTATTATTGCAGTTTATTGACATTCATTACATTAATAAAGATGCAAAAACCGACAAACAATAATCGCATTTTGGACTCAGTATGCTATATTTTCTCTGATAGAAAATTATATTAACGAAGGAACTTATACCAGTAAATATTTTCAAAATGTTCATGAATTCATTCCATTCAAGTGAAAGAGACCTGAGAGGCCACTCTTTTTATCCATTTGTCATTGAACAGAAACAAATGTTCCTCTACAATAATGAGCAGGAGCTGCCTGCTTCTAGAAAAACACACTGTGGCTACCCATGAGATCAATTTCATACAAAATATTGAAGCAAAATTTTTCAATGACTTCAATATCAATTTATTTGTTAGTGTTTCTATTGGAAAACAGCTGTCTTACCTTTTAATATAGTTGTTGAATGTATTGAGGTACGTGAAATAAAACACAAAACAATGTTTGATAGGTATATAATAACTGAAATATTTAAACTCAGATCGGATGAGAATTCTAATAATCAAACAGGGTATTCCCACACAAGTCTCCTACATATAAAAATAAATTTAAAATCGAAATACCCTTTTGAACGCTGTAACAATCTTTATATTAATGAATCTATTTCATACTATCCTTAAATTATATCACAAACATCGAATGATGATCATATGTATATAATGAGTAATTTTTTTGCTGGTATCTTTTTGGCAACACAGTTTTCGACAGATCACGCGTGAATCGTGTTTTGTGTCATTATCAAACTTGTTCAGTTTGGTCTATAATTTAACCATGAATCGACTTATGAATGAACAATGCTTACAAATTATTGAATGTCATTATCAAAATTCATACTCGGTGAAGAAAGTGCATAGTGCACTTCTTCCAATTTATGGGCAGTTTCATCGGTCTATTGAGGGAGCTATTCGGAAGCTTGTGACTAAATTTCGAACCCAGTTTACATTACTAGACATTAAACCACCAACACCCATACGTAGAGTGAGGACCGAAGAAAATATTGCAGCTGTATCCGCCAGTGTTCGTGATGACTGTGAAATGTCGATTCGCGCCCATTCGCAGCAATTGGGCCTCTGTTACTCCACTACGTGGAAAATTTTGCGAAAGGATTTGGGTGTAAAACCTTATAAGATACAGCTGGTGCAAGAATTGAAGCCACACGACCTCCCACAACGTCTAACATTCGGTGAATGGGCGCTGGAAAACTTGAAGGAAGATCCACATTTTTATCGAAAAATTGTGTTTAGCGACGAGGCTCATTTCTAGTTGAATGGATACGTTAACAAGTAAAATTGCCGCATCTGGCACGCGAAACAATGGCCCAATTAAGAGGCGCCTTCGGTGAACAGTTTATCTCACGTTTGAGGCCGTCACTTGTCTACCTACATCGTGTGATTTAACGCCTTTGGATTATTTCTTGTTAAAGGCTCATCTATAGGGATAAACCAGCAACGACTGACGCTTTGGAAGTCAATATTGAAGCATTTATATATGCAATACCGGTCGATATGTTAGAGAGAGTGTGCTAAAATTGGACCTTGAGCATAGGCTATCTAAAGAGGAGCTGCGGACAACATTTGCATGAAATCATCTTCAAACATTAAATTATATTGATCGTTCTACCGATTCCAATAAAGATTTTATCAATTTTTTCAAATTTTTCGTTTGAAAATCAAATCCTATACCTATTAAAAATCACCCGTTATAAACATGTGGCTTGAAATTATATTTACAATAAATGCATATTAATGACATCAGTTCACTGTAAACAATTTCATCAAGTCAAGATTTATTCATAATTTTTTATACATGAATGTATATATGACGCGTCACATTTTACAAAATATTTTTGTTATAATATCACTTATATCATTTTACAACACGTTACACAAAAATATTATTTTCACACTCTTTCAGGGAGTAAAAACAACAAAGTTTTTGACTTTTTTCCCGAATTTGACAATTGTTTGGCCGATATAAGAAGGAGAAGGCGACCCAATAAATATATATGCGAAAAAATCAAAAGGTCTCCTGAGCAGGAGGCGACAGTAAAAAGCATATCGTTTTTTATTATAAAAAGTTCGACAAAAGACCAACAATCAGCCAAAAGGGTAGGGGAGCTGGTCTCCAAACCTGGATGAAATGACGATGACATTCTGGTATTGACACAAATGTCAGGAGTAATGTACTGTTAAGTAGGAAAAAAATATTCATGGTTGAAAATAATCAAAATCAATTTTTTCAACTTGTCACTGTGTCTGTACATTCATTCTTCAAGCTAAACTTTAGGACCAAAATATCTTTTTCTTTTCAAGAAATCAGTTTGAAATTCTCATGGTTTTCAAGTCAGAAATACCTACGTGCTGTTCAAAAAATAAGGTGAATGTTTAAAATTCACGGGTTACGCGTATAACACCGTAATCCTGTCTCAGCCAGCGAATTCACCAGTTTTGCACCTCTGCGACTTTTTTCTGTTCCTAAGATTGAAGAGACTCATGAAAGGTCGGCGTTTTGCGATGATTTAGGAGATAAAAATTGAATGGCTGAGAGAGCTCATGCAAGGGCATCCCAAAAGTGGTTCGAGGATTGGAAAAACGCTGGCACAAGTGTTTTACATCTTAAGGAGACTACTTTGAAGGGGACAAAATATAAATTGATGAGTAAATATTTTTTCAGAAAAATAAAAATTCGCCTCATTTCTTCAACAGACTTCGTATTCTTTCGTTGATAAAACTGTACGGAAAGCATGCTTCATAAAAGTATCTATTCGTTATGTTTATTCTTTTGTCGAACCAACTGTACTCATCTTTTCAATACTGATTGAACAGAATTAAATGAAATATGCATTTTATCAGTTTTTCTTTTTTTTGTGAATTTTGCCGTTTGGTAATCTTAGATTCTCTTGTATCAAGTCATGGTAATCAATTTTTCCAATCTTTCAAATGACCTGATTGACGTTTTACCAAACGTAAACGATGTAAAAGAAGCTTAAAGAAAATATAAATTTCCAGAAATGTTTTGAGCAGTCGAGGCAACTTTGAAACAGCAAATATTGGTGTCAACAGTACATGTTCCCAGATGTCAGTTGGGATCAAATCATCCTTCAACCAATCAATCAATCAAGAAATGCTTTATTATATTATCGGAAGAACAATGTTCTCATACATAAAGTTACTATGATAGAATCATTCTTGGTTTTAGGGATTGTTCCAGATAACCTTTAAATTGTGGACTTTAACCCACATAATCCAAGATGGTAAGATCCTCGATTATATTGAAGACCTTGTGCATCAGTGAATTCTTATTGGGTAACCGCACATGAAAGAAAGAAATGTATTCATTCATGGACCAACTACATGGTATCCAACATGTTAATTTATACCTATAAAATGATTATTATCCAAAGTGAACATACAATTTGAACTGTTAATGCAGATTTGATAATGAATATGTGAACAGAGAGTGTAAACTTTTCAGGTTTATTGGTCTGCACATTTTTATATTTGATAATTTGTCTACTAAAGCGGTAGAGATTATCAAAGGCGTTGGTAACGGATGAAGTAGATCACCTCTTTGAAAGAGGTACATATCAGGTTTTCGAAAAAATCACTCTTGTGAGACGGCACTCCAGTATACAGTATAACAAAGTGAACACATGTTGATGAGGGGAATTATGCAGTATCAGTCTTCCTAAATTTCAAAATGGCTTTCGAGACCATCGATAGAAATATTCTATTGGAAAAATTGACGTACTATGGAATTGAATGGCATACTGCTTTGGTTTGAAAGTTATTCGAAAAGTAGAAAGCTGACTACAAAAGTTTTAAATCATCAACTTCAACAGAATCTGTGGATGATTTAGGGGTCCCGCAAGGTAGTGTACTGGGTCTACTCTTATTTATTGAATATCTAAATGATATTTACTATTTAACAGGTAGACAATCGACTGAGCTATTTGCAGATGGCACCTCTTCATACATATCAAATAATAACTCAAATAATGCAATAGAGGAGCTACAAGATGTAATGGATCGAACTGTTGAATATTCACTGACCAATAAACTTGTCCTAAATGTAAGTAAAAGCGAAATAATGAAAATGGGTTTAAAGTTGAATGAAATTGACCATGATACAGTGAACATCCAAATAGGAAATGAATATTTTGAAATTGTTAGTAAGATGAAATATCTAGGCTTCATGATTGATAGACCACTGTCACTTAATAGTCATGCTGATTATATCTTCATTTTCAAGAGTGGCCCCACATCATAGTATCATCTGAAAGGTCACATTTACAACTGTATAATTCAGCCACATTTAGACTTAGGTGCCACAAAGGTTGTATTTTTTGACTCAAAATAAGTTGGTCGACTACAAAAAATGCAAAACAGAGGTATGCATATAATTCTGAAATGCAACCGACTTACCCCTATAAAGACTATGCTTAATTCTCTTCAGTGGTAATCAATCTCAAACAGATCTTATTATCTAAGTATGGTTTTTATATTCCCAATAGGGCTTTGAGTGTATTGGCGGAGGGAATAAATTTCTCATTTTCTAAAGGTATGTCCCCATTGTGTCTGAAAATTACCACAATCATTTCTCTACATAAAAGAGGCGTTCTTGACAACCCAGCTAATGTTAGACCGATTGCTTTGCTAGGCGTGTTGTCTAAAGTTATAAAAAAACTAGTAAAGAAACGAGTAATATCCTTCCTCGAGAAAAACAATATAATAAATTTATTCCAGTTTGGCTTTCACTCTTCAAAAGGTACACAAGACGCCATATTTTCACTCCTGAAAAAACTGTACACCAATCTTAATGAAATAGAATCTGCGGCGGCTATGTTTTGTGACCTAACCAAGGCCTTCGATTATGTAGACCACAGGCTACTTCTTCGCAAGCTAGAAGTTTACTGATTTAGAGGATCTGTTTTACTTTGGTTTGAGACGTACCTTTCTCATCGGCGCCGGCGGCAGAATGTTCTACTGAATGGAATTTCATCAGAGGAACGTTTCATTGGCTATAAGGACCCACAAGGTTCCATTTTGGGACCGGTGTTGTTTCTCATTTATGTCAATGAGGCGAATATATAATGAAAAGAATCAGAAAGAAAGTAAAAAAATTCCTTGTTGGGAGGCCCCTATTATATTTAGTGTGGACGAAATCTACCTAGGCTCTATTGAGTAATTGGCATGTTATTGAAATGGCTATCAATGTTCATTATTTTGTAGTTTATATTTGTTAATTTAATGCCCATATACACGTTTTACTTTACTAGACTCTGCCAATAAGATTTTCAGATCTTGGGTAACAAAGCATATTTTGATTTGATTCCAAATAATAAAGGGTATTGAACTTAGCTATTTCAATAATTTAATTAAAGTCAACAATGGCACTAGAACCAATATAAGCTCCCATATATCCAGGACAAACTCAAGATCAGCAATGAATGGTCTGTTTTGCAGAGGACTAGTGGAATTTAACAATTTGCCTGGTTCTTCCAAAAACAACAAAAGTATTCACACTTTCAAACAAGCGTTATTGCAGCATATCAAAAAAGATAATTAATTTTAATAAATGTATGAGTGCATCTGTATTTATACTTATTTATTTTGAAAAAAAGATAATTTACTGTATGTGATGAAAAGAAAGAATGGCATAAACGAATGGTGGTAACATTATCTCTGCAAACAATTATTATAATTCACTTATTCTTTTACTTGTAGTATTTGTCAAGGGAAGTTAACTCACCTGATATTTTCTGGTAGTATCGATACATCCAATTTGTACCGTTTAACAGCCAAAATACAAAGTGTTTTCAAAGACGGCTTGAAGTCCAGCACAAACGTATCACCGTAATCCACAAACATATTATCCATCAATTGCTCACGGAAGTCATAAACTCCTGCTACTTCTGGGCTGCAACACAAATATCATTCTTATATAGTCTTCTCAAGCAACAAAAAGAATAACTAAATAAATATTTCGAAATATTAATCTCCCCCAACTACCTACGCAGTAGGGTCTGGTAAAAGTCTGTCGGAAAACAACTACTTCCCTGGCTAATACCATGCTGGATATTGAATTATATCCGACAGCAGTAGAACCATGCTGAAATTGTTCAAGTAGGTCACCTGCAGACAACTGGTTAACAAAAAAACTAATTTTCAACTTTCATTACCCTGATCCGCCAAAAAGAAACAATCTGTCTCCAACGACAACGCATGTTTGCTCTTTTCGCTCTCCAGGAATCTCTCCCTCAAAATGCAATTCTCTCCATACCATCGTTTTCGGATCAAATTCGTGCATGTCGTTATAATGTCTTCCTCTCGTACAATTATAACCCCCAAAAATGTACATTTTATTATTGTACACGACTGAAAAGAAAAAAGTATGCCAATCAATTAATAGTATCAAACATATTCATGACTTGAAACTATCCCTTTAAAATTCACATGTCGTGGCAATAAAATATGATATATCACAGTATAAAATATGATTTAAAGTGTAGGTGTCAATATAAACAACAACCAAAAAAAAAACATATATTAAATCACAGCAAAGTTTCATTGTAATGTTAATCAAAATTGTAGTACGCTTTTGTTGCAAGGGCATCTTTAACAAGTTTTCTGAACGTTTTATAGCTTTGTAGCAGAATCATCCTGTATGTGGTCATTCCTACCCGCTATCATTGGAATGTAAGGTTTCTACTTCAAAAGGTCGATAAGTATACGACTTGATGCCTCTACCTGACCGTTCATCATTTTAATAGTTTTTGCTAAATGTTCGGACGCAACAAAATGAAATTCTTTTCTTCAAGTCTGTAAGCGATAGCCGTAGAAATCGAAAGAAAATTATAATCCTCAGGGAAAAACTATCAGAATTTGTTATAGAAGTTACGAATAGTGTGCTTGGTTTTACGTAAGTTTCAGATACCATAATAAATTATTGTTGGTTCTCTTATCCATTGTTTAAGTGTATTTTTAATCAGTTTTTCATGGTTTTAGTTTTTTCAATTCGACAAAACGCTGATAGCTGACAGCAGCAAATTCAATAGAGATTGAATAAAATTAGTTTTCTCTCATTTTACCTTTATTATCGAACCAATCCTATTACAGCTTTTCTCCTTCCTAATTTCGTAAGGTATGTGATTATACAGATTTTTACATTCATAAATTAAAGAATATTTTGTCTGAATTGTTTTTGGAACAGAAAGGTGTATTTTATTTTCTGTTAATTGCAGGGTTATGTAATTTATATGTTTCGGAGTACCAACCATATTATGTTTTTTGTAAATCAGGCAGTTTCCAGAATGAAAATACAACTTTCATTTTTAAGATACAAATTTATTAGAGCTGAAAGAAATATTGAAGGAAAGAAAAACAAAAATGCACCGGGCATTGACGAAATTTCAGTAAAAATTCTAAATAACCTTTCCGATTCTGCGTTGAATACATTAGTAATGGCTTTAAATAAATCTTTTTCCCTTGAAAAATTCCCTGCGAGTCTAAAAACAACTCTTGTAATTCCTCTATTCAAAGGCGGTAATGCAGAAGACCCAAATAACTTTAGATTTTTCTCAACAAAATAATTCGCAGTCAAACTTGAAAAAAGGAAAGGAGAATAAGCAGGAAAGGAGAAAAAGCAAGAAAGAGAGACGAGAAACAAATTGATATCATTAAAAGAAAATAATAGATGAGCTCATATGTTATCTTTTAGAAAAAAAGAACTTCATTCAAATTATCAATCAAACAATAAGGAAATAACTTACAAGATGAATGGCTGCGTCGACCAATCGGTTTGTCACCTGTAACTTTGCATTCTTGCCAACAAAGAGAAGTACTGGCCTGAGGATCTAAGCACCAAACAGTATTGCAGTACACCAAACGTAATCTCCCAATAAATATTGGAGATTGCATTTCAACTTTTCTTCCTCCAAACATGTATATTTTATCATCTATCACAACGGTGGTATGATAATCACGTAAATTTGGTTGGGGACCTGATAAGAGAAAAATCAAAAAGTCAATATTACAATAATACTCAATGGAGATGTCTGATTTCAACATGCCCATGAAAAAAGAGACAAAGGTTCTTAATTTCGCTCTATTCCCATTGAATTTCGTCCATAATTTTTACTTTTCCTGATCTCAAAATTACTGTATAAATAACGAAGTCATCAACATAATTTGATAAAAAATTTCCCAATAACAGAACACATAATTTAAAAAAATTACATTTGTATGAAAAGAGCATATCATCTATCATAAAAGCGAATTTTTTTTTCAACTAAATTGAACTCTGAATATTCTTTACTTTTTCAGGTACCTCATTTTAGTGAATATTTATCTTGGTTTTCCTGATAACCAAGATGAAATAACTAAGAACTTTCCTGTCATTTACTTCAAAGTCAGAAACATCCATTAAAAAGTTACCATTTATTTGCATGCAACTCCAGTGCATCCTTTCCAAATCCAAAGAATAGATGGAGCCAGTGAAATTATTGAATTCTTCTTCAAAGCCACCAAAAATAATCATATGGTTTTTCCACAAAGACGCACTGTGACCATCCCTGGGTCTAGGATGATTTCCGGTAGTCTTTGGAGTTGTCCAACAGTGCAAATTGGTATCAAAACAAAATAACTTGGAACAAGACGCTTGGTTGTTCCTACCACCCCAGATATAAACTTTATCTCCGTAAACAATAGCGGTGTGTCTATACCTACAAACATATAATTTCATATTCAAATAACATATTATTGTTAGATTTTCACTGGACAGTTTACAAAACTGAAGTACGTGTTTCGTTCTACAATAGCTTCTTCAAGCATTCCCATACTGAATAATTTCTACCTTATTCATGCTTTATATAATAATAATTTGAATCATATAACCTTCTACCTAATTATTGACTTATTATTTTACCTGATTCTAGGTGAAGCTTCTTATCAGTAAACAACATATAACATATATGTTAATACAAGATAGATGTTGATAATTTTGCAGTTTTTTCAACTTGTCTAAGGCGCTTGATACAGTGTCCTCTGCAATACATTTAAAGTACTTGTTACTTGGATAATTTACTGAGATGGTTGAGTTCCTATATGAAAGGACGTTGATCAGAGTTATATATAGAATCAGAGAAATATGAGATGTTAAAAACTAGGTTTCCTCAGGGTTCAGTGTTAGGACCACTATTATTTGTTAATGATTTGCTAGAGAACTGGCAAGTTGATGAAACCGTGGTTTCCTATAATTTGTAACTAAAACCGTACTTTGAATGAAATACATTTTTAGCTAATATGTTTACAATCTCTTATTTATAAGTCAGTGTAGGGAAGTTAAGTTTCTTTACTGCATTTTAAGAAATTTAATTTATTTATTTCTGGAGTTAATCTTCATAGTAAATCAAATCTCAACTATTACCTATTGTATGGGAAAATATTATTTTCGAAGTATGGTAAGTCGCTAACTGGATGACGGGTCCATCGTAAAGTTTCAGTATCCATAACACTAATGTCCATCGAGTACTGTTCTGAAAATTCTCCTGTACGAATACCTCCAAATGTGTAAATTTTGTTTCCGACGGCAACTGATGCATGATTGACCTTCATTGGGCCAATGTCCAGAGCTAATGTCCAACGCATACTCGAAAGGCTTATCTTCAGATGGACTAAGGTATACTGCTTTCAGTGTTCTCCTAACAATGTTTTTATTTGAATTTCAGAGTGAAATTCAATTTCCAAAAAAATACATATACTTATTCTTTGTTGAATGTTGATTTTCTAGTATAAATAAAATCTGTTGAAATAAAAAAAAATGTACATTATTTTTATCACATTGGGAAAAGACAGTTTACCTTATAAACCCATAAATGAATAAGCACAGCACATGGCGTCCGAATGCACCGTATAGAAATAAACACAAGTAAGTTCACTCTCCGCCATATTTGGGTCAAGATTCCCCACCTCGAATTTTATGCTCAGTCGGCCTACAGGGCAACAACCCCATTGAAGTAAGTTTACTTATGTACAGTGGCGCAACCAACTGAATCTGATGCATTTACTAAGCGAGCCAAGTTGAGGCATGGACTATTATTACAGAGTGAGTCGTTGTTTTGTATTTGTGGAAAATTTGTGTCTACTTTCAAAATGAACAAGTGTCGAGCTGTGGTTTGCTGTAATTTGCAGGGTGATGACGGCATTCATTTTTTTCGATTTCCAATTGACGAAAAAAGGTATGTTTTTCTATTATTTACTATGTAAGATTGAAGTATTGAACATATAACGAAAATCATAAAATAAATTTTTATAGACCATATTATAGTGGAGTCATTAATATGCAGACTTTTTATTAGGAGTTTAATTTGATGAAATTGAACTTTACGAATAGTATATGCCTCCAGTTCCACTAGACATCTACAAAGGAAAATAATTGTTGAGAATTATAAAATTTATGAAAGCTATTGGGCTATACTCAAAAATTTGAAGAAGAAATCAAATGTTGAACAAACAAATAGTAGAAGGCCAATTACCTCGTAGTCGACGCCTTTAAACAAACAACAACAAAAAAATTGTTGAACCACATCAAGTTTTGATTTTTATCTGTAGGAAAACAATTACTTCCACTGAAATCTTTGCAAAATCAAAGTATCAAATGTACATTCAAATAACCTTTTTGGAGCCTACTTTTCATTCATATGTTCCAGACAATCTACCATAAATAGTAAATATGTCTTTTCTTAGATTATATCATCAATAACGAAAAACATTAGAATTTCATTCGATTTATACACTTCATAATTAGCAAACTAGGCAACCCAAAACTAAGAAATCTGTATTTTATACTGTAGTTTTGATTTACAACAATCAACCCAATAATATAAAAAA